TGGTTTCTTCTTTGGTCGCACTCATGAAGGACCAAGTGAAAGAAGCAACACTCGTTATTTTACTTCTAAAATAAGTTCTTTTGTTGACAACTATGCTATGCAAAGTATTTGACTTACTGCGTTGCTCTGATTGGTTGTAGGTCTATCCGACTATCCAATTGAGTGCAGAGGGTTTTTTTTCTGGTTCGGTTAAGACACGCCTCATAATCAAAGCCTTTCGGAGCGGTATCAGTATGACGAAGTCAGGCTAGTGGAAAGTAATTATCAAAGGTAAAATTATAATTTGGCTAAAAATAAAAAATACAAATAAAAAACAGGGGACACCTCTGGCGCGACCTTCTTTAAAATGCCTTTACTGTCTGCATTAAATATGGATGGACAGTCTGCCCACCCTCCTGTCTTATTGTGGCTTATAGATACTTTAGGCAAAAAAGTATCTCTATAATACTTTCCACAGTCTTTGAAGCCTGGACACCATAAACCACAATGTGGTTTTCCTGAAATTGAATAAAAATTCAGTTGTCAAACCGGTCTGTTAGACAGCATTCAGAAGTGCACTGTATGTCATGCACATGTCCAGCTCAATGCTTGTAATCCAGCCGTTGATATCTCTGATCTGTTGAGGTTATTCAAAACATTACAATTGACACTCACCCTCTCACCACCCAGACATATAGTAATATTTCTGTTGTAAATGAGGAAAAAGAGATAAGAGAGCAGCCTTCCTGTAAACACTGTGCTGATTGAATTGATGTCTCAAGAAATGACTGTAAATACTTTCAATATTGGTTTCAATACAAGTCTGTAAGATGCTTAGTTGAGTATTTTATTTAAAATATGAGAGACAAAGGAAATAAACCGATGAGACATTATCTTAAAGGAGCTTTATGTAAGATTGTGGCCAAAACTGGTACTGCAATCACTTTCAAATTACTGTAGAGTGGTGTATCCCCTCCCCCCTGACTCGAGGTTGCCAGATAAGCTGCAGGATCCAACATTTTTTTTTATCCGACACTTTTGTAGCGGCAGCTGGGGTAACTAGAGCAGACCTGACTTCGTGATTGGTAGATAGGTGGAGGGTGGAGCATCAGAACAAAACACAACATGACAACATTAACATCAGTTGAAGGCTGCAACTTCACTTTTTAAATGACAATATCCTGGCTGGACTACTGTTGTCAGTGATATAAGTATTTGAAATGAACATGATTTCTTAATGTCTAGTGACATATCAGGGCCATTTTATGATGATTTGAAATACATTTCTTACATACAGCTGCTTTAAGTCTTAAGGAATATATATATATATATATATATATATATATATATATATACACACTTCCGTTCAAAAGTTTGGGATTGGTGATGTTTGTGATGTTTTTGTGCCAATTTGATGCTCAAATTATTATTATCAATGTTGAAAACAGTTTTTCGATGAATAGAAAGTTCTAATTAATTTGTTTGAAATATAATCTTTTGTAACATTATAAATGTCTCTACTGTCACTTTTGATCAATTTAAATTCATCCTTGCTGAATAAAAGTGTAGTTCCTTTCGTTGTCATTCCGAGTTACGTCGGATGGCGACGAATGCGGTTTTGCTTAGAAAGCCTATCGAATTTGAGTATACAAAATGAGCTAATGGCAAAGAAATGCCATGGGTCTGTGGAATTTGCATAGAGTATCTCCACCTTTCCTTGTGGGTATAAATGAGGACGCCAGCAACATGCAGATAGGTTTTCGCTTCGAGCCAAGAGTATCTCTTCACTCCACAGCCATTTCTGACTTCGCTCTACTAGACGAGCCACTCTCTCCGGTGTTGGTGTTTCGGCGATCTGCAGCGAGTTCACATTGCCTGCTGATCTGTGCAGTGATCTGCCAGTGAGTTTTTTTATTATTATTTTTAAAGACTGCTCGCCTGTGCATTTCTGGTTGCGGTCAACTCCGATTTCACTTAGCAGCGTTTGTGGATGACTCACGTTCTTCCTGTGGGATCGTGACCATCGCACCATTACGGTTGAGACTCAGTGATCTTGTTAGAGAGCGAGTCCCCTCATCCACACCCCGATCTAACACTCTCCACATGAGATGCTACTTCAGCTGGTGGCCAGGCCTGAGGGTGAGAGAGTGGAACAATTCGCGGACTGTTTGTCCGTGGACCACACCCCCTTCTTCAGTGACGCAACCAGCGAGTGTTCCGGGTCTATTTTCGGATGCCCCGCTGGTTTCCCTTGACGCTCCAGAATCAGATCTGTTGTCCATCGCAGCATCACAGGGCGGGCTAGAATCTTCAGGAAGGGAAGTGGCTATGCCCCTATCATGAGAGTGGAGGTTGCTACCCTACTGGTCAAGGGTATGATCGAGACTGTCCCTCCTGACGAAATGAGGTCCAGGTTTTACAGCCCCTACCTCATTGTCCCGGAGAAATCAGGTGGGTTACAGCCAATCCTGGACATGCGCATCTGACCCGCCCCCTTCACAGGCTGCCATTCAAGATACTCCTGGCCAAACGCATTTTCGAATGTATGCGGCCACAGGATTGTTTTGCAGCGATTGACCTGAAGGACGCCTACTTTTTTCCGTTCTATTTCTCCGTTCTCCTTCAACTCAAATTTTACCTACAGTTTGCTGTCAGGGGGTGCGCAAATCATTATGCTGCTCTCCCATTCGTTCTAGCCCTGTCAATTTGCGCCTTCACAACGGTTGTCGAAGCAGCCCTTGTTCCTCCGTGGGAACACGGGGTTCGCATTCTGAACTTTCTCGGCAACTGGCTATCCTAGCTCACTCTCGAGTCCAGGTTTGCGAACACAGGGACCCAGTGCTACGGCACCTAGCTCAACTGGGAAAAAAAAGAGTAAACTTTGCCCTGTGCAGAGAATCTCTTTTCTTGGTATTGACTTGGTCGCCTTCTCCACTCAGCCACTGCTGACTTGCCTGAGACAATCAAGCGCAAGAGTGCGGTCCCACTGAATGTTTTTCAGAGGCTCCTGGGGCATATGCCGTCCGTAGCTGCAACATCGCTGCTCGGATTGCTCATATGAGACTGCTTCAGCTTTCACAACCGAGTCCCGAGGTTGGCATGCCAACACAGCTTGCTCTGAGTACCATTTATTCCGACCTGCTGTCAGACCTTCACCACGTGGTCAAACCTCAGTTTCTACGGGCTAGTTCCCCTGGAACATGTTTCTGGGAATGTTGTTCTCAACATATACCTTCACCATGGGCTGGAGCGCCATGCGCAATGGACGTGCTGGCTCGAGTTGCTGGCAGTATGCCTTGTTCTGCACCGCTCTTGTGTTGTTCAAGGTCAACGTGCGCTAGCCCACTCTTACATTACCTCATCAGTAGCGTACATCTACCATCCAGGTGGTCTGTGCTCCCGCCATATGATGCAACTCGCCCTCCACCTCTTATGAAGTCAGAAGCATCTGAGGTTGCTTCGAGCCATTATTCCTGGAGCCCTGAACTACGCAGCCTATGAGCTCCCACGACTTCAGCCCCTCCCTGGAAAATGGTGACTCCATTCCCAGCCGGTTGATGGAGTCAACGGACTCCGTCCCCAATCGGCCAGCAAATATGCGTTTCCCCCAGTGAGCCTCCTTGCGCAGACCTTGCACCTCCTTGGCCAATTCCTCTGAGGAAGGACCTCCTTTCTCAGGGACGGGGCACCCTCGTCCCGATCTTTAGAACCTCCACGTGTGGCTCCTGGACAATACGAGGCAGGTTAGAGTACCCTCCCACCAGCGGTGGTGGCTACCTTCACTTCCGCTAGAGCGTCGTCCATGAGACACCTCTACACGTTGAAGTGGAACCTCTTCGTCAACTGGTCCTCTTCTCGCCGAGAAGACCCCCAGAGATGTTCGATCAGTGTCGTGCTTTCCTTCCTTCAAGATGGGTTGGAGCAAAGGCTGCTTCCTTCCACCCTTAAAGTATACGTTTCCGCCATTGCCGCACACCATGATATGTTAGAAGTTAAGTCTGTTGAGAAGCACGACCTGATCGACAGGTTTCTGAGAGGAGCGAGGAGACTACATGCTCCACTCCACCCTGAGTGTGGCATACTCTTGGGCTCTAGCACATGGTGCCTCACTAACAGACATCTGAAGAGCTGCAGGTTGGGCGACACCCAACACATTCGCCAGATTCTAAAATCTTCGAGTGGAGCCTGTGTCCTCCCATGTACTCATTTCAACCAGCTAGTACTGGACCCGCTCAGGTTTCTTCGCTTGCTCGTCATTCCACTCCATGGACTGGATACGTGCAATATTGTCGGTGAGCTTCCCCGAAAGTTCCTCCAGTATTCGTTGCCAGTGTCTATTGCCTGTGCGCCGGCTAGGTGCCTCCCGTGTGCGTGGTCCCTCCCCTGGGGTTGAGATATTCCACCTGCGGCTGGACACCCATGTGTTCTCTATTTGCATTCCTTCAGGTCATAATGTATTCTCTAAGTCCCCAATCTAACATTGATAATAATAATAAATGTTTCTTGAGCAGCAAATCAGCATATTAGATTGATTTCTGAAGGATTATGTGACACTGAGAACTGGAGTAATGATGCTGAAAATTCAGCTTTGCATCACAGAAATAAATTACATTTTAAAATACATTCAAATAGAAAGCAATTTTAAATTGTAATAATATTACTTATTTTATTAAATAAATGCAGCCTTGATGAGCATAAGAGACTTGTTTTAAAAGCTTTAAAAAATCATACCGATCCCATCGTTCCTGTGTTTTTGCCTTCTTGAGTATCAATATGAAATTAACTGTCCAATAAACATATAGTGTTATTTTATGTATCACCCACAAATGTTCCACAGAGTATTGTGAGTACAATACTTTCAGTGTGCATTAATTTGCATACACACACACACACACACACACAAAGATGGAACTGCTCCGGCCTTATTCAAATTTTTTTTTTTCTGTTCAATATCAGAGTAAAAATGAGGTTGCATCAGTTATTGGACATCCAATCACTCAATTTTGTTGTTCTCTAATTAGGTGACCAGATCGGTGGCTGATTGCCCTGGGCAGATGACACTGCTCTCCCAGCCTCTGCTGGTGTGTGGTGGGGACAGCTTTACGCACTCCAATTTCGACGGCTGCATCGAGTCTGCCCTGAAGGTCTTTGATGTTCTGAAGTCTTCTCTCTAAAAGGGGGGTGGGAAAGTGCCCCTTTATTTTTGTTTTTTTGTTATGGAGGATGGAACATTGATTTAGATTTAAGCCCCTCCCTGCAGGAAGATGGATGTACTGCACAAAGAACAGTAGATCTGTCTGCCCTGTGTCTGCAGACATGCATTTTGTTACAATAACCAATTATACCGTCTATGCCGGATGCTGAGGATTAGAGGACAACAGAGCACTGCACAGGTTCAGGTGTGATGAAGGCTAGTGCCTCATACTGGCTTAGACACAGTATCTTGGACTACGGTTTTCTGATGTGTAGTAAACATTATGTATGCGTTCAGGTATTCTCAACCTTCCCCTGTGATTTAGTTTCAGATTAATAAAATTATTAAAACATTCTTGAATGTGTCGTTGTACATGGGGAGTTGAAGTTCTGCGATGTGACTAACTATACTCTATTTAAAATATTTTATGGTAATTATTATATAGGTAAAACTCAGAGAAAAAAAAGTTAATGTAAGATTAAATTTAACATAATTCTGAGAATTAAAGTAATGATTGTAATGAAATACGTCACAATTGTGAGTAGTAGTTAATAATTCGATGTAGGGCCCTATTTTAACGATCTAAGGCTGGGGTCTAACGCACTTTCTCTAAAGGCATTTCCGAATCCACTCTTGCTAGTTTAACGATTGGAAAAATGGTCAGCACGCATGTTATAAAAGGATTGGCCCTATTCTCTTAATGAGTAATTGGTGTGATTTAGGCGTAACGTGCAATAAACCAATCAGAGTCTCATCTCCCATTCCCTTTAAATGCCAGTTGCGCTTATTTCATGGCACATTCGCTATTTACATGGCGGAATTTGCAAGCAGAAAAACTGAACACTTCTCCAGAGAGGAAAGGTATCGTGCGCGAGGTTAAAGGAGCGTGTAAGCAGACCATCTACAGGACAAAGTGTACTCCTAATGTGAACCCGCCTATAGGCGTAAATTACTAACACGCTCTTTAAATGAAAAAAAATATTGCACCATTGACTTTAGACCAGGTTTTTGTTGGTCAATGGCGCAGCGCAGTCTATTTCAGTTGCCTCAAAATAGCAACGCACCAACAATGCGCCTGAACACACACCTCGTTTTCAGACCAGCACAACCATAGGCACACAAATGGGTGCAAATACATTTGCTGTATAAACAACGTGGCGCAGGGCAGGAAAATGATAACTGCGTCGAGCTAAAACTAGCAGAAAACACTTCCGTCGCGCCTGCCGCTACATTGCACGGGGTTTATGATGGGGCCCATAAAGTAATTTTGTAACATATGCTGCCATTGTGAGAAATGAGGAAGAATAAAAGTCACAATTATTGCCATTGTAAAATATAACTTTTATTATTATTATTTTAGGCGTAAAGGGGTTTCCATACATTCATGGAAATTTTTACCTACATTTTTGATGTTTTAAAAACAGCTCAGAGATAATTTGTGCAAATCAGACCCATCTTGCATTTGGTTGTTGAGTACAGGAGTGGGGGTGAAAGTTAGCCCAGCTCGGCTGCCACCCCCTACTGATCTGTGTACAGTAATTCTGCTTAGAGGAGCGAGAGCAGCCATTGACCGAATTGTGCAGCTTAGTGCTGCTGCATCTGGGCCATAATCTGGGACAAAATGTTTGGCAGCCAGTCTGGAGAGAGAGTCAGTCATAATCCAGTCATAATTATGGCCGGGTGGGCCCGGGCCCACTGCACAGCTGGGCCTTTCTCATTCTCTTTCTTGATCTCTCTCTTTCTCTCTTTCTTTATCAGTTACTCCCCCACTCCAAACTCCTGTTCTCACTACTAATATTAGCCTCTGTGCCCTTACCAGGATTATATTACATCCCTCCTGAGATACACCACACTATCATCGATACAGAGTCAACAAACCATCTCAAGATGGATGGGTTAGACTCGTGTACATTTTGCATTTATCTTGCATCCAATGGCGACTTTTTCCCGCCTGTTTTCTAAGGCAGTGCTTTAATGACAGCAGCAGTCGAGCTGCATGAACCTAACAAACCCGATGATCATGTTCTTCAGCATGATTTCATAATGATCTAAAGAGCAGCTTACTGTAAGCTTCAATGGAATGGATGTCACTTAAAGGATTAGTTCACTTTTGAAAAAACTTTTGCTGATAATTTACTCAACCCCATGTCATCCAAGATGTCCATGTCATTCTTTCCTCAGTCGAAAAGAAATTAAGGTTTTTGATGAAAACATTCCAGGATTTTTCTCCTTATAATGGACTTCCATGGGAACCAGGTCCAACCGAGGTACAAACGACAGTTATAACAGTTACAGATGCAGCTTCAAATGTCTTTAAACGACACCAGACGATGAATAAGGGTCTTATCATGCGAAACGATCGGTTATTTCAAAGCTTATTCCAAAAATGTAACTTTTCTAAGGACAAATGCTAGCCTTGTAATATATTGTGAGGCGCGTTTGCAACGTCACGACGTCATAGCATTTGTCCTTAGAAAAGTTACATTTTTGGAATAAGCTTTGAAATAACCGATCGTTTCGCATGATAAGACCCTTATTCATCGTTTGGTGTCATTTAAAGACATTTGAAGCTGCATCTGTAACTGTTATTAACTGTCTTTTGGACCTCGGTTGGACCTGGTTCCCATTGAAGTCCATTATAAGGAGAAAAATCCTGGAATGTTTTCATCAAAAACCTTAATTTCTTTTCGACTGAGGAAAGAAAGACATGGACATCTTGGATGACATGGGGGTGAGTAATTTATCAGCAAAAGTTTTTTCAAAAGTGAACTAATCCTTTAAATCAATATTGACTTTCAATGTTTCAATATCCTAAAACCTTCTGTTTATTTCCTTGTTTAAATTAGCTTTTTAAGTCCCAGATTTTCAATCTAGTCTCATACTTTCAGACCCCGCACTGTATATATTGGTCTATATTCTGAATATCTTTTATTCATACCCTGCTTTGAAGAGTTTGACCATGTGCCACTGTGATTTTCCAATATAAACTAATCATCCATGCCTGCCATGTTAAACAAAAAGCTCAGGCCTCAGCAAGAATTTCATGTGGTAGTTACTGTCTGGAATGAAGCTAAGAGCTATATGTTGAAGTCACCACTAGCATGTTCTGATTTTAAAGGAACTAAAAAGAAAAGGTCATACAGAAAAAGCTAATCCTTTCCACTTTATTATATATGAATGACAGTCTTTTGTACGTGTTCCTCTTTCTCTAGCAGTGCTGGTCTGATCTGCTAGAAAGAAACAGAGAGCGGGAGAGAGAAAGAGCGAGGCTTTACTCTAATGGATACATTATTCATACAAGTCATCCTGCAAGGAATAGAGCTCAGCTGCCTGGGTTGCAAAAGCCTTGCCACAATGTTGCATCAGCCACCTCACTTTCATTAATACGCACATTACCGTCTAGGGCTCTTTGATCTTTTTTTAGCAGTCGATAAAAAAGAATGGGCTATGGTGGAACACTCCATTGCAGGGTTGACATTGTTAGTGATTTGATTTGGGTTGAGGATGGTCGTCCTAACAGACTGATGGACAGGCATCGGAGGGCGATCGTGTTGTGCCACTCTTGCCGGCTGCTCGTGTGTCTGGTAGATGACACAGTCAGGCAAAGCCTTTGTTTTGCTGCCAAGACTCATTTCAAATGTTCCCCTGACTCCTTTCGCTTCTTACTTTCATCCCAGTCTGAAATATTCTTGCTCTCATTTTCTTTTATCCCCTCTTTTCAACTCGCGTGCTCACGAGGGTCCTCCCGGACTCTTTCGCTTCCCCCGACTATTCTTTCCCCCCTTTTCGAAAAGCGCACGCCGTAAAGCCACAGAGCGTGTTGCCGCAGACACAAGGATCATAGCTCCACTGACCTATTTTTATAGGCTATCCCGACGGAGCATGGCTGCTGTGCATTCTGGGTATCTGATTTACATTTTTGCAAAGTCACTGGCAGATGGCACCAGAGCTTGACGAGACCGCGGTAGGCTAATCCCTACCCAATTGACACAGACACACACGTACAATCCTTCTTGGCGTCATACGCAATCCCATCCCCCACTCCGAGGCAGATCATGCGTGTCCTCTTTAGGTAAGACCCCCTTATAGCCGGATGAAAAGCGCTGGCATCATATCAGAAGTGCTTAGGCCATCACTCACATTGAGAATGGGAAGACTTTTGTAGCTGGATTCAAGGGCATCACTAATAAGATCGACACCACCCCACCCCCCTTCATATTTGGTTAGAGGGAGAGATGTTTTCTGGGAGGAAATGAAAGGAGATAGTGCCTGGGTTTAGGGATATGAGGATCCTGTGTGGTTGTGTGTAAGCGGCAGACAGGAGATTGGGATGTTTAGACTGCTCTCCCTCTCTCACATCTCTAGGGAGCTCAGGCTTGTTTAATTAGAGGGGTGGTGCCACGGGTAATGGGCGCTAACGTCATCGGCCCCTTCTTCTCGCACTCTCGCTTCTCCTCACAGGCCCAACAGCATGGCTTTCTCAGCAGTCAATATACCCAAAAGCTCTCTATTGATCTGGGAGGGACGGCTTCACTCACATGGCAGCAAACTACCCTTAGCTAAAGGCTGGAATACACTTGATGACTTTTGCACAGATTTTTTTCCCCCTCTGATTTACAGTCTGGAGGTGTCACTAGTCAGAGGTTGTCAGTCGAAGTTGACAGTTTTTGCAGAAAATGACAGTGTATGATGGGCACAGCCTTCGATTTTTGTTTAGCTTCAGACTATGATTCCATCAAGTCCAAGGATATCAAACGTGTCTGATATTTTGAGACAATTATAGAACACCTATTGTTTTCGTTTGCATATACTCCAGTGTGAGTTTGTTGTCTTCTGAATGACTTGAACGAATATGGAATATGCGGTAGCATTTGCAAAATTTCAAAAAAGGTGAATTGTCTCTTGTCAATAGACGAGTATCAGTGATGCGCGGGTCAATGTATAAACAACCCGCAACCGACCGACGTTTTCAACTACCCGCCCGCAACTCGGACCGCAAAAAAAAAGTTAAAAAATATTGTACCCGACCCGCTTCCTGACCGCATTTTTTAAAAGTAGTAAATGCTCATCGGAGCGTTATTGGGCCATAGACGTGTAACAACACAGCATCGCAAGAAGACGTAGGCCTACACATAACAAAGGCAAAGCCAGTCATCATCTTTCATTATTTCAGCAAATGTCTTTTACTCTTTCTATTTGTGTATTTGCGGAGCTTCCACTCCCCAGTCTTTACCTTTTCTCTTGCCGCCTCCATCTCTCTGCAGACTGTAGTGATCATAGACATGGCCGGTTCGTGAACGAATCGTTCTTTTGAACCGGTTCTTTTTAGTGAACCGGTCGAACCAGTACACTAA